ACAGCAATATTTTAAGGACAATCAACTGTGAAAGATTTAGCTACCTTCTCAGCAATACAATGATGCAAGATAATTCCAAAAGACTCTGCTAGAAAGGTGTGTCAGATGGGCTTCCTGGGTCTGGTCATCTCTGCAGCTCAACTCTCCACTGCCCCAGCTCTTCTCTAGAGCCCATGGTCAGTTCTCTTCTCTACTGTCACAACTCCTGTTCCCTGAAGCTGTTTCCTGCTTTGAATCTGTCTGTCTGACTGTCTATCTATCTGTCTGTCTGTCTGTCTGTCTAAAGAGGATCTCTGCTCTAGGCCTGAAGCTACTGGATTCTCTGAACCATTTGATTGCTGGACACAGTGTCTCCTACTGGACAAATAGTTGCTTTATAGGAAACCATGGCTGATGTGGGCAGGTAGGTAGGACGGAAAAATCTGCTTCTCATCCCCATAAAGGTATAAAGGGACACATTCCACAAAGCCGCTCTCTACTTTAAATGCCTAAAACTCTCAAACTGGGCTCAGATTTGGCAGTTTTTTATTTGAAAGACTAACTGGGCTGTGGCCAGTCTTTGGCCAGCCAATGGCCAGGGTCTCCTAATTTAATCAGAAAACATTTCCTACTTTGTAAAGAGATAAGGGTATAGACAAAAGGTATAGTTTTCTGTTTTCCTTTTAATTTTGGCTGCATTAGTTTTATTTATGCAAAAGCTTTTTAAATTTCATGTAATCAAAATTAATCATTTTATATCCTGTGATGCTTTCTGTCTCTTATTTGGTTATAAACTCTTCCCTTATCCATAGATTTGACAGATACATTTTTCTATGCTCCCCTAATTTGCTTATGATATCACCTCTTGTATCTAAATAATTTATCCATTTTTACCGTATCTTGGTACATGGTGTGAGATGTTGGTCTGTGCCTAGTTTGCATGTTTGTCAACATACTAATACCTGGTTACCACTGTTGTTTATTGCTTTCAATAATTATATCAACATGACTGGTTAGTGGTACAGAATAAAATCTATCCACACATACATACTAAATAAGTACATGTACATAGTAATTTGATTTTTATTTTAATTTTTTTTTCCACCCAGAGGAAACTTGGTGAGTACTCCATACAAAGAAAAAGAACATTAGAGCCTGGCAGTACTAGAAGGGTGAGTCGCCTTAGAGACAGGTGTGCCTCCCTACTATTGTGCTCTAAGATGGCTCCTACCCTTTCTACTGTGTGTGTTTGTGGATGAATATACCCACATCATAGAACTACTATTCTTACACGTAGATTTTAGTAAATGCTTTTTTTTCAAACTAATTATGTCTACTAGCTGACTATTAAAGATAAACTCACTGGTGAAGACTTAGGAGTTATAATTTTAGCAATGCAGGTCCACTGGGTGACCTAGAACACTAGGACCAGCTACTTTTTGGAGATTCAACCCTTGAATATGAGCGCATATTTCTAATGGTGCAACAACATTCTATTACATTCATATACTGCATAATCTGTTTAGCCAGCCAATCCCCAATTGATAGACATTCACTGCAGGCACATAAAAACATTTTTGATAATCTTTAATATCAGTAACTTCTCATTTATGCAAAATGAAATGAGCAGAAGCAGAACATCATACAGAGTAACAACAATATATGTGATGATCAACTTCGAATGAATTAGTTATTCTCAGCAATACAATGATCCAAGACAATGGATGAAAAATCCTATTCACCTCCAGAGAAGGAATTGATGGAGTCTGAATGCAGATCGAAGATACTTTATTTTTCTTGTGTTTTTTTTCCTGTGTTTTCTTTCACACAACTAACATGGAAATACCTTTTGAATGACTGCACATATATAATCTATATCAAATTGCTTACCTTCTCAATGGGGGGGGAGGGAAAGAATTTGGAACTCAAAAATATTTTTAAATCAATGTTAAGAATTGTTTTTACAAGTATTGGGGGAAAATAAAATATTCAATAAAGATATGAAAAAATAACTTCTCAATTTATTAATCAGTCAACAAGTATTTTGGAGAAGGAAATGGCAAATCATTCCAGAATTTCTGCCAAGAAAATCCCAAACGGGCTCACAAAGAGTCAGATGTGACTGAAAGGACTGAACAACTATAAGAAGCATTTATTAAGCACTTACCATATGCTGGGACTGTGCTAAGTGTGAGGAATATAAATAAAGAACCCCTGCCCCAAAGAGATATACATTCTAATGGAGGAAGACAGAGTGTAAAACAGAACTGAAAAGGAGAAGGGTGGGATGGGGGTGGTGCAGGAATAAGGTACCCAGTGCCAGGGCCTGGTAGAGAAAGAGTCCACAGTGCAAACTGGAAAGGGATGGAGACTTCTTTGGCCTGTGCCTCCTCCTTCAATTGGAGGGTTTAGGAGAAACTGTGGGGCCGTCTCCAGTCTCCACGATCTATATCTTGCCACTGGATCCAGATGACTCTGGAGGAGAAAGTGAGGCTGGTGACTTTGCACAGCCCTCCTTCACTGTAATCCAATTCACTTGCAAGTCACGGTATCACCTTCCTGACATCATGGTCCTCTTCAAGAACAAAGGACAAACAACAAAACTAGGAGAAACCAGCCAATCAGAAGGCGAGGCCTGGTGCGTTAAGAGTACTTCCAAGAGGGAGGCCAGGGGTGGTGAAGGGATTTCTAAAGCATGCTAGAGAGTTCTGGGAAGATGAGCAGCCTGGAGAGGCATTGATATCTCCCCTTCGAACAAAGAAAAAGCAGTTAAGCTGTAGACCAAAGCCAATTTCTACAACACCCTGCACACTTAGTCCTGTCCCCTTCTCCTCACAGCCCTCCACCCCCACTAATCTCTCTACAATGAGATGCAGGGCTCATCATATCTCTTCTGCACCAAGACTGGCACGCACAATTAATCTGAGTTCAGTTTAGATCAATGCTGTTAGATAGAAACAGGGCCACTCATCTGTACATAAGGATCCTTGAAGTTGCATGTAGACTTAGTTTGAAAATGAAATGTTATGTATTTTTATTGCATTTTTATTTATTTTATTAAAATAGTTCCCAAATACATTTTAATGTGATTCTGGCCAGCCTGCAGGACACGTGTTTGACATTTGTTGTGTAGGTAATCTTTTCAAGAAGGTTAGCAGTGAAGGCGAAGAGGAAGATGTGACAGTAGCCAGTCACGCTCTGAATCTGGCTCCCACTGATTATTCTCAGATCTCCTAATCCTGCCCTAATCTCTCTGCCGACCTCCAGCTTCTCATCTCCAGCTTCCTGGCAACACTTCTTCCCTCCCTCCCAACCTTTCTTTCCTCCTAACTTCCCTGCTACTGTTGCAGCCCCTCCCAGTTATCCAGGCTCAAGACCAAGTTGTTCAGTTGTTTCAGTTGTGACCCCATTTGGGGTCTTCTTGGCAGAGATACTGGGGTGGTTTGCCATTTCCTTCTCCAGCTCATTTTACAGATGAGGAAACTGAAGCAAACAGGGTTAAGGGACTTGCCCAGGGTCACACAGCTAGTGAGTGTCTGAGTCCAAATTTGAATTCAGGTCTTTCTGAGTCCAGGCCTGGTGCTCTATTCACTTCCACACCTAGTTGCCTTCAAGACCTAGTGGTCATCCTCAAGTCCTCACCCTGTCTTGAATGCCTCCCCCTCCTCCCATTCAATCTGTTGCCAAGGCCTGTGGATTTTATTTCCATAATATCTCTCACATATGCCCCCTTATGTCCTCTGATACTACCACCACCCTAGTACATGCCTTCATAACCTCATGTCTAGATCACTGCAACAACCTTCTGGGCATCGGTGGGGGTGGTGGTGTGCTTTTTTTGGCCACAAGGCTCTACCCACTCCAATCTATCAAAGTATAGGTCTGACCATGTCACGCCCTTCACACAATAAACTCCGGTGGCTTCCTATCACCGCCAGCATCAAATATAAGATATATTTATATTTTATATATAATTTATAAATATATAAAAGATATATTTTATATGCCATGACCATGTCACACTCTTCACACAATAAACTCCAATGGCTCCCTATCACCGCCAGCATCAAATATAAAATATATTTGTATTTTATATATAATTTATATATAAAATATATATTTTATATGCTATGACCATGTCACACTCTTCACACAATAAACTCCAACGGCTCCCTATCACTTCCAGCATCAAATATAAAATATATATTATATAGAAAATATATATTTATATTTTACATATAATTTATAAGTATATAAAATGTATTTTTATATTTATAAATATATATTAATATATGTATCCTCAGCGCTTAGCACAGGGCTTTGCACATAGTAAGCCCCTGGTTAATGCTTTTTCATTCATTCATTCATGCATTCATTCATTCACTCACTCATTCATTCATTCATCCATTGTACAATGAGGTTTAGGTACAAAGTTGGAGATGAAGTGACAGGGTGGCATCGTGGAAAGATCTGACATCAGTATTCCTCAGTTCTAATCAACCTTTATTTACTATCTGTGTGATGCTGGTGTAAGTTTCCACATTTGTAAAAATAAAAAAAATTGTAAAAATAATAATAGCTTGCATTTATATAGTGCTTTCAGATTTGCGAAGCTTTTTACAAGTGTCTCATTGGATCCCTCATTTGAGGGAGGTGCTATTATCCCCACTTTACAGATGGGGAAACTTGAGTCGGAGATGATCTGATGGTTACTCATTAGGAGCCTTACCTCCCTGGGGGTTGCAACTAGGAGTCCCTGAGCACATTGGGGTGGGAGTGGGGAGACAATCTTTTCCATACGCTGGAGTCCTTCTATTCTAGGACCGTCCTTCCTCTTTCATAAACAGCACCTTCCGTTCTCCCCGAGAGACGTAACTGCACAGTATGACGTGCCCTTAAGCAGCGCATGCGCCCTGGGAGGCCTGAGGTCTTTCTGTGGGCTGCTCCTTCAGAAGTCTCTGAAAGGCTTCCTGTGATTGGCCAGAAAGAGCTGGCCCTTTGGATTGGTCCAAGAATCGCGGAAGCTTTCGAATGTTAGCGTTTTTGTTGGTATAGCGACCATGCGGCCAAGGCCATGTCTTGTCGGGATTTGCCTTAGAAGCTAGGTAGGAGAGGTTGGGGTGGGGAGGAGGTTTAGGGGAGGAGAAGGAAGAGCCTGGGCTCCAGGGAATCCCTTTGGCTGGGGAGGGTGGGCCCCTAAGACCCCCACCTGCAGAGGCCAGAACCCTCAGCTATTCTGGGTGTGGGGCCGCGCGGGGGCTGTGGTGGGGAGGACCCCCCACCCTCATTAAAAATACCACCCCCACCGTCCAAGGGATGGAGAGGTAGTGGTGTCTGCGTCTATTCTCAGCTCTCTTAACTTTGGGAGAATTCCAGAGCCTTCTGGAACCTCAGTCTCCTCATCTGTGAAATGGGGATGATAATGGCTATACTGGCCTACCTCTCAGAGATGTTGGGGGTGGGGGATTTTCTTTGTAGATTTCCAAGTGCTATGCAAACGTTAGTTTGATTCTCACCTTCCTCACCTCGGTCTCCCGGATTCTCTGTCTCCTACTCAAGTTCCAGTCACAATCCCGTCTTTTACAGGAAACCTTTCCCGACCGTCTTTAATGTTAGTGCCTTTTCCCAGTTGTGATTGTCTCCATTTTATCCTGTATACATCGGTTGCTTGGGTGTTGCTTACTTAAAGGAAAATTCTATGTTTGGGCGTTTGCCTTGATTAAGGAGGCAAAACTCAGGAAAAAGGGAATGAAAAGAATTATTTAAAAATGTCAAGGTAGCAACAGGGCTGATCACTGGAGATGACCAAGGGATTACAGGTGGAGCCAGCTTTTATTGATAACTTTGGTAATGAGATAAAGACAATTGGACAGGCCCAGCAAAAGGGGATGGGCCATAGCACTTCAGCACCGATGGCAGGTATGTGAGGGCTAACAGGTAGGAGATGCCCTCTACCTGATGTGTACCAGGTACTACAAGAGCTGCAGATTGGGTGATGCTTCCCCCAGGACTTATTTACAAGCAGTAGAATAGGGTCACTTAGCATAACTTTCAATATTTCCTCCTTTGACTGGGCTCCATGAGAGCAGGGACTGTCTTTTGCCTTTCCCTTTTCCCCTGTGCTTAGTACAGTGCCTGGCACATAGTAGGTGCTTAATAAATATTTGTTGGCTGACTGACTGGAAAGAGTCCTGCATTTAGAATTTGAGCCAGATTCGAGTCCTAGCTCTGCATCAGATAAGTTATTTCCATTGTCTGGGCCTCAGTTTCCTCCTCTGTAAAACAGATTGAACTGTACGTCTCTAAACCCTATGGTTCTAGTTAAATCTTGAGCAAGAAGCCTTCTCCCCTCCAAGCCTCAGTTTCTTCCTCTGTAAGATGAAAGGCAGGATGGCATAGAGAGGCTAGCAGCTAGTTTTCAAGTTAGGAAGACCTTGGTTCAAGTCTCCCAGGCAGCTTTCTAAGGCTAATTTCCACAGGAGTCCATCTACATTGATGGGAGTTTATCACTACATGCTCCCTATACTGATAAAAACAAAACAACACACATACACGCACACCCCGGGACACTTAAAAAATAAAAAAGGAGCTAATAACACCTGCCACATGGGGTGGCTTTGTCAATCAAAGTAAGTAATGGGTATTCAGGGCTTTTCAACTCTAAAGTGCTTTTCTTATCATATTTGCCACTTTTGAGGTTGTCCAGCTGTTTGTCTCCAAACAGGTTTTCATTGAAGCTTATTCATTGAGATGTTTTTTATTTAAAAATAAATAAAAACAATCCAGCCAAGTAAACTTTCTTAGTAACATTTAAACTTAAAGTAATTTCAAAATATAAACTTTTCCATCCCTCTCTCTTAAGTCTCTGATCTCTTTTCCATTCATTCTCAATCATTTTTCTTTTTCCATGGTCATAATTGTTGTTGTATTTTTTTTTAATTTTGCTTCAGCTTTTTTTCCTTTATGTTGTTTTATAAAAATCTGTCCAGAGTTCTTTGTATTTTTTCATGCTTGTAGGTCTTAATTGCATTGTAGTATCCCATTACATACATGAATTATTTTTTCTTTCTTTTTTTTTTTTTCTTTTTCTTTTTCTTGGTCTGGACCTGTGATTTTATCGCCATGAGGAAACTTCCCCAACTGATGTAGATCAAAACATGCTTTGGGACTTACACAATCTTAGATATTGCCCAGACAACTGAGAGGATAAGCTACTTGCCTGAGGTCACACAGAAAGTATGGGATAGAGGAAGAATTTTCTTATTCAATCATTCAGCAAGTATTGATTAGGGATTAACTATTTGCTGGGCAGTATGCTAAAGGTTGGGGATACCAAGAAAGAAGTGAAACAGGCCCTTCTCTCAAGGAGCTTACATTCTAATGGGAGAGACAACTGTCCACAGATGTAAGTATATACATATAGAATCTCCTCTGGACTAATTCCCGCAATTCATACTGGCACTGGCAGATTGGGTCCCCAGAGAGTGGTGGCTATTCTTTTTCAGGGTTTTAGGAATAATTCTGTAGGTGGCTATTGTCCTAAAACTGTAGATTTCAAGCCCCCACTGGTGAGCTTCCCCTTCACAATCAGCCAGTAGATTAAGTCTGCTGTAGCACAGACGTTTACTAAAATGGCATAGCAGGAATGATAGGTATGCAGCATTATCTGGGTACCAATGTCCCTCAAATACACACAGAGTATATGGGGATGGGGAATAGAGAAGGCTCAGACTTTTGGGACAATGATTGTGAAGCATACTTGTAGGGAACACATATAGTAACTCAACTTTAGAACTGCAGGGACTCAAAGACTTTTTTGGAAGGATCTTCATGAAGTTTGCTGTGAGATATAATTGATGATCATCTGGACTGTCTCCTTGAAGGGGACATCATCTCTCTTTAAAAAATTAACTTATTTTTAAAATTAATTTAAAAAATTTTGAGTTTCAAATTCTTTTCATCCTTCCATCCTCTCCCCCACTGAGAAGTTAAGCAATATGATATCAGTTATACATGTGAAGTCATACAAAACATATTTCTATATTGAAAAAAAGCAAGAAAAATAAGGAAAGTGAAAAAATGTGCTTTAATTTACACTCCGAGTGTATCAGTTCTCCTTCCTGAAGTGGATAACATTTTTCATTGTGAATTCTGTGAAATTGTCTATGATCAATGTATTGATCAGAATAGAGAAGTCTTTCACAGTTGATAATCATTACATATCACTGTTACTGGGTACAGTGTTCTCCTGGTTCTGCTCACTTTACCCTGCATCAGTTTATATAAGCCTTCCCAGGTTTTTATGAAAGCATCTTGTTGGTCATTTCTTATAGCACAATAGAATACCATCACAATCATATACCACAACTTGTTTAGCCATTCCCCAATTCATAGGCATCCTCTCAATGTCCAATTCTTTGCCACCACAAAAAGAGCTGCTATAAATATTTTTGTATATATAGGTCCTTTTACTTTTTCTTTGATCTCTTTGGAGTGTAGACCTAGTAGTGGAATTACTGGGTCAAAAGGTATGCACAGTTTTATAACCTGTTGGCATAGTGCCAAATTGTTCTCCAGAGTGGTTGGACTAGTTCACAACTCCACCAACAATGCATTAGTGTCCTAATTTTTCTATGTCACCTCCATTATTTGTCATTTTCCTTTTCTATCATGTTAGCCAATTTAATTGGTATGAGATAATACCTTAGAGTTGTTTTAATCTGCATTTCTCCAGGCTAGGGCTGACTGAACAGACACAGGGTTCTTTAAAGGGGTTGTTACTTCTGCTTGACAGATTGATCTGCTGGACTCCCTGTGTGGGGCCCACTTTATGGTTAGGAGCTGCATCATTTACCACTTCCATTATCTGGGTTGACTGAATGCATTTAAAGTGTTTTTTTTTTCTTTTTTCCCTAGCAAGCGCAACAACTCTAAGCCTAGGCCTGGCAGAAACCTTGGATCTGAAGTTCATTACCTCTAGGAGAGATCATAAGACCATAATCTATAGCCAAAAGGGACTTTAGAGGCCATCTAATCCAAAACTGAAAAAAAAACTGAGGCTGAGGAGGTTAAGTGACTTGCCTAAGGTCACCTAACCTTTGGCAAGTGGTAGTGAGTGTCAGAGATGGAATTTGAACATTTTGATTCTAGAGATTATGTTCTTTGCACTATTCTGTGCTTCTTCCCTCAAGAGATAAAGGAGGTATAACTTCTCCCGTTCAATAATTCTTCCTTTTTCAGAGCAAGTTCCCCACTTTTACTTAAGGTGAATAGCCAGTTATATTTCCCATACTTCTGTTGGGGTCTTAGGCACCAACACAAGGGACTGGGGACAGAGGTCTTGGCTAAGTTTGTGTCCTGTCATTGTCTCACTTGTATCTTCATGTGCAATTGTGCCTCTGACCCTTTCTGAGGTGTAGAATGCCTCCTTTGCATCTGAAAGTCTTTCCCTTTATATTTTATTATCTGTGTTTTTGCCATATGGCCTTCAACCTCGTTGAGGTCTAAAAGGGGTGTATCCCTCCATACCCAATGAATACAGGCAGTTCAGGGAGAATACACTTCTAACTAAGGGTACTAGGAAAGGCTTCCTGAAGGTGACAGTCCTGTTTCTCGGCACGAATGTGCCGTAAGTCATTTAACTTTGAGGCCTACTGTTGGGATGTTTAGGCCACCTATGAGTTCTTTTGCAATTACATTTAATGCCATGAAAAGTTTTGAACAAGCACCTCCTTTTTTTGGTTTTTGATAACCCTTTTAGGATATGTTCTCCCTGACACCTCCAACTTTGGACCTTAGTTGGGGGTTCTCAGAGAAGAAGTTTCTTATCTCGTCCTCATTGAGGCAGTGTTTCAATAGTCTAGGTAGAGCATAGGACTTAGACCTAACAGGAGGCCCTTCATGGTCATCGAGTCCAAGCCTTCGTTTTATAGATGAGGGTCTTGCTCATTGTCTAACTCTTACCTGCAGCAGCATAATCCCATTTTCTGAGAGAGACTGAAAAAAAATATTTTTTGTTTGTTTTTTGTTTGTTTTTTTAATAGTTTTATTGATGCCTTTTGATTTTTTAAATTAATTGATTTTTAGTTTTCAACATTCACTTCCACAAGATTTTGAGTTCCAAATTTCCTCCCCTTCTCATCCCTCCCCCCACTCCAAGATGGCATGCATTCTGAGTACCCCTTCCCCTAATCTGCCCTCCCTTCTATCTCTCCCCCTCTTCTCTTATCCCCTTGCCCTTCAGTTTTCCTATAGGGCAGGATAGATTGTATATCTTATTTCCCAGTTGCATGTGAAAACAATTTTTTTTAACATTTGTTTTTAAAACTTTGGGCAAAAATATTTAAAGTAGCAATATAATTCCCACTTTTTTCTTAGGACCCATCTGAATTGGAAGGGAGTGTGGGGTATTGGAATGAACCCTGTTGGAGATGTGGATTCTAGGGTGCTAAATTGGATAGAATACCCAGCTTAGAGTGTTTAACTTGGTTATCAGCCAGACTGAGGGTTGAAGATTGTCCCTGCCACCAACTCCGTGTGTAACCCTGGGCACATCACTTCATCTCTCAAGACCCAAGTTTCCTCATCTGAAAAATGAGGGGTTGGGCCAGATGACCTGTAATGTGCCTTCTGGCTCCAGAACTACGATTCTATTATCCTATCTCAGCCACTTAGTGACCATGGCTGTTTCATCATCTATAAAATAAGAATCTTGGACCAGATGATCTCTAAGGTTTCTCCTAGTAATAGTATTCTGTGTTCTATCATCCTTCCCAGCTCTGTGACTAACAGGGAGAATCCACTTAAAGTGTTTCTGCTCTAGCTATATTATCTCGTATCTACTCACAGTTTAAGAGTTATTGTGGGGTAGTTGCTTATGAGACAGAATTAGGCAGCTATTCCTTAGCCTTTCAGAGGAAAAGAAAAAAAAATCACTAGTCCACATACAGAAAGTAAAGTTTTGCTAAATGTAAGGAAAAAAAGAAAATCTTTACCCTTGGGCAATGATAAGACTAATTTCATAAGCACAACGGGAGAAGTGACCCTAGGCAATTTCCAGTGTTCTCCCAACATGCCATAGTTAGGACGCAATGTTCTTAGCCTAAAGCTCTGTTGGCAGTAATAAAAATGATAACTCGAGAACAAGTAACCTCCACTGTTTTAGCAAGTATGAAAGGATGAGGTTTTAATCCTAGGGACAGGTTTATGGTTTGGAAGGAAAACATGAATTAATGTTTATAAAACAGAACAACCCTGAGAGCAGTTGATGTGTGCTCTCCAAATACCAGCCTAGCTGAGTAAAGAGGAGCTGATCTCCAGTTGTCTGGCCATTTGGTGATGAATTCCTGGGCCATGACAACCCATAAAACGAAGAAAAGTACAAAATGGTTTTTGATCCTGTTCGGCCTCTTTCTGCCGTGGACAGTTTGATAGCTCTCCACTCAAACAATCCCACCTGGGCTTTTCTTCAAGATAACTGTTGTGCATCAATATGCAGCAGAACTGATTTGTGATGTAGAACATTTAAAAAGACATGTACTCAGGGGTTGAGATTTAATAAAATTAATAATTTTATTGATTTGTCAAGGACATTCTTAAGTGAAACTGGCAAAGAATATGATGACTGCTAGAACGGTTTGGTGCCATGACCTTCATTTGGGCTTAGAGGTCAGCAGTTTGACCCACCATTGCCTTTGACCAACAGTACAAATGTTAACCCAGTTATTTCAGGATAAACCGTAAGATTAAAAAAAGTTAATCAACTTTGAATGGTTCAGTACCATTTCTGTTTGTTGCCAAGTATTCATATACACTAAGATCTTTGATGATTAGTTGGTGATGATACAAGACAAATATAAATAAAACATCAAGTCCAGCTGTAGATTCATCCTTTTTTAAAGAGAGATGTATTTAATTTTTCAAATTACATATAAAACAATTTTCAACATTTAAAAAAATTTGAGTGCCACATTCTCTCCCTCCCTCCCTCTTTCCTCTTCCCACTCCTTGGGAAGGCAAGCAATTTGATATAGGTTATATATGTACAGTCATGCACAACATTTCTATATTAGCCATATTGTGAAAGAAAACATAGGCCAAAAAAACCCCATGAAAAATAAAGAAGTGAAAAAAAAAAGGTATGCTTCAATTTGCATTCAGACTCCATCAGTTTTTTCTCTGGAGGTGGCTAGCATTTTTTATCATAAATCCTTCAGAATTATCTTAGCTCATCGTATTGCTGAGAATAGCTAAGTCATTCACAGTCGATCATCATACAATATTGCTGTTTT